CCCCCCCCCCCCCCCCCGTCTCTCTCTCCTTTCTTTCTTCCTTTTTTCCTTTTCTTTCTTCGACAGAGTCTTGTTCTGTTGCCCAGGCTGGAGTGCAGTGGCATGATCTCAGCTCACAGCAAGCTCTGCCTCCCAGGTTCAACCAGTTCTCTGCTGGCACCCACCACCACACCTGGCTAAATTTTTTTTTTTTTGTATTTTTAGTAGAGATGGGGTTTCACCATGTTTGCCACGCTGGTCTTGAACTCCTGACCTCGTGATCCACCCACCTCAACCTCCCAAAGTGCTGGGATCACAGGCATGAGCCACCGCACCCAGCCAGACAGCACAGTTTCTAAGCAGCAGATGAGAACCTGAATTTGGCTCCTCTAAGTCCAAAGCCAGATGAAATCAGTTAACCTACATAGCAAGGGAACCCTGCAGACAAGCCTGGGGAGTTCCTCTGACTCCAGATATTGTGATTACACTGTTCTGTGGTTTTGCTGACAATGGAGACCTCTACCCTACCCCTTCCTTTGCTAAAGCCCACATTGGTTTCTTTCTGCTTGCATGTGGAATTCTCTGGGGGAATCATTCTCATAGGAAACATGGAATGTGTCCTGGATACAGACCTTGAAACTTAAGAGATGAGCCATCCTTGCCCCCTCATTGTTTTTCACGCTGTAGGTTATGACTCTTTAGTGAGCCATAAAATTAAGGATTGTAAACATTTAAAAAAAAAAAGAACATAATGGATAACCTCAGAGTATTTCACAGATAGAAAGAATGAGTGCTGTGAAATTTCGCATGTGTGTATGGAGTGGCAATGGCAAATGTATTGTGAGTCATACTTTAAAGAGCTTGACAGTCTTCAGTCTAGTGGGAATGGTTCCTGGAGCTTGTGTCAGGCTGAATTTTGTCTGGGCGATGGTACTATCAAGGCCAGAGGAGTGTGGAAATCATCACAGAGACTGAATATCTGTCTCTGCCACTGTGCAACCCAGAGACAGGGAAGAAAGTGAATTTTTTAAGACCTGTGCAGCTCCTCTGCAACAGATGGGGAGTGAAGTGGAAGGCATTTAGTCAAATAGGCCATCTCTGGATGTCTCTGGAGATTGGGAACGGCAGCCTACAACAACGAGATTTATGAACAGCACAATTACCTCTCTCCTCCTGAGCAGGCAGCTGCCGTGCGGATGAGCCTGGGCTTGGCCTACTGAGCTTTTGGTAATGAGTTAAGGCACTGCTTGGTGGGGTGACTGCAAAAAGCATTTTGCTGTTCACATACACACACATGCACACATGGATGCACATGTTCCCAGGGCAAGGCACGCCCTGGCAAGAGGGTCTCATTTGAACAACGGATGGCCACTTCTCCCAAATCCACTTATGACTGCTTATTAGGCAGCAGCATGCCTAATTTAGGGAAAATGATTTTCGACTGGAAATTTTAATTAATGGTGAAATGAAGTGTGAGTCTGGAAAAAAGAATAATGTTTCTGACTGGTCTACTCTTGGGTAAATTTGTACACTTACCCTGGTGGCTCTTGGTTCTGCGGAAGACACACTGTTCTGGACGTTAGAGAGAACCTGCATTGTGTTCTGGTTCTGACACTGATTTTCTGGGTGCTTTTCCCCTCCTGGGATCTCCAATAGTTTATGTCTAAATGAGGAGTCATTAGCAATGGTCTCTGAGGAAAGGCAGAGTTAAGTAAGACCTCAGCCTGAGGTCAGGCACATCTAGGTTTAAATTCTGGGCCACTGCATGGTAGTTGCATAATCTTAATTAGGTCACATGACCTCTCTGAGCCTCAGTTTTCTCATCTGTAAGAAGGAGCCTCTAAGATTAGCTACCTGGCATGGTTTTGCAAGGATTAAATTACCTGACGTTTGCCAAGTTCTTGGTATAGTGCTTGACCCGACTAGGTTCCCAGAAGGTGTTAGTCATTATCGTAATTGCTTTCTAGGGTTTCAGAATCCAACATTTCATAGAAAAATAAGGCTCTGTTTCCTTTTTTACTCACCGTGATAGTAACAACAAAAGATAATAATAGCTTTATTTTCGAGTGCTTCCTCTGATCCAGGCACTATTCCAGTTTACTTGACAAATGTTATATGTTGAGATCTTTATGGTAACCCCACAAGGGAAGTCCTGGTATGACCCCCACTCTATAGATGGAAAATAAATGGAGGCAGCATGAAGTGAATGAGTTAGCTTGGGTTCTATAGCTTGTAGGTGATAGAACCCAATTGTCCAACCAGCCAGTCCGAGCTCCCACTTATAACCACAGCCCTGTGCCATCTCTCGTGTTTAGCTGTATTTCTGGAACTCAGATCTGGTTCTCTCGACTTTGACTCTTGTTGAGACACCCAAAACATTGAAGTTGTGGACATACATTATCAGCCAGTTCATCAGGGAAGACTGGTGATGCATGGACTACAGGCATTTATGGGGGGCTTGAGAGCCGAGTGCTGTGCATCCCTGAAAGCTAAAGATCAACAAGGACTCTGGCTCGACAAGTATTCATGGAGCCTACCATACGCTGGCCATTATGCCTGGGATATGTTAGGCACTAGATAAATATTGCCTTCAGGAGGCAATGAATGACTGAATGGAGGATGAATAAATGGCAATATATAGTCATTTTCTGGGTGAGGTGAAGGTATTTATAAATGGAGTTCAGAGAAGGGAGTGATTGGTGGGGATCATAGAAAATTTCATCACAAAGTAGATAAATGGACTGGACAAAGGTAGTACCTTAAATTCAACTCATTCAGCATTTCTAAGCACTGACTGTGTGCCTAACACTGTGCTAGTCTCTATAACGGCGCTGAAAAATTCAACTTCACAAATACCTATGGAGCACCCAGCTAGCCCCTGTGCTAGAATCTGAGCAATAGTACAGAAGAAAACATGCTGTGTCCACCTTCCTGGAACTCACAGATCAGCTGAGGATATGATTAAGTAGAAAGAGAGACCAAAAATAAGCATTTTGTTGCCATTCTGCCTTAATGCATGCATGTGTTCAACTCCTAACACCAGACAAAATGATCACTAATTTCTTATTCTCTCCTCCCTTCTCCTCCTTTTCCTTCTCTCTCTTTCTCTTCCTCTCCTTCCCTCTCCAGTTTCAGAGACCTCATGACTATTCCCCACCTTTTCGATTTGGGACAGTCCCTAATGGAAGCACGGAGAGAAACATTCGGAATAACTACCCCTACATGCATCAGTACATGACCAAATTTAATCAGAAGGGAGTAGAGGATGCCTTGGTCAGCCTGAAAACGGGGTAAGGATGGTGGTTTCCTTTTCTCCACAGGTCTGCTGGCGATAAACCTTACAGAAATTGACTCTCGGCGTGCCTCAGTTCTTATCTACTCCCATTTTTGTATTTCTGGAGAGTGACTGCAGTCCAGATGGGCCCCAGTTGAGGGCTGTTTTGTTAATCTAATGAACATCCCAGGTTTCCTTCTGAGTTTGGGTAAGAAAAAGCAAATCCAGGATGCTTTGAAATACACAGAACCAGAAAGGTTTCTTAAACTGATAAAGAAGTTTGTCCGACTCCATAGGATATTTTAACCAAATAGAAACATCCAAGACAAAGATTTTTATCCGATTTTAGGTAGGAGGTTTTCTGGGAGTGGAGAGGAGTATCTTGCTGACAGGAGCTTTATGAAATAACTAATTCTATAATATTGATGAAAAGAAAGAAAAGATGGGAGAAAGCAATGAGAACTCAAATCATTCAAGTTACAGCTGGCATTCTTGTCTATGTGTTGGTATCGTGGAGTGTAACACAGTCTCCATAGCTGAAGCTATGAAGAAAAGATAGCACCGGGGTTGGGAATGTAGACTTTGGAGAGAGAGTTTCTCAGACCTCATAGCCTCATACCTAAGATGGGAATAATACTAGTACCTAAGAGAGATAATTTGATGGAAAGTATTTTGGATGGGAAATAGATAGTATCTAAATGTTAGTGTTGTTATTTATTGTAAAGGCTAAATTCGATTCCATGGACTCTTCTAAAAAGTCAGGAATGCATGAAATCCATTTTAGAAAGGATCAAATTCAATAAAAATGATTTTATCTTAAATCAGGGAGTTGTTTAATAAGAGGATTTCGATTATCCAGAAAATTAGCTCATATAGGGCATTTCAGTTGTCACAGATTCCTGCATGGAAATGTGACTGCAGGTGCAGTCTCCTTGCAGCATAATAAATAGCCTCCTCTTCGGCTGTTCCGCAAGCCCATTGTGAAGGCCTTGATGCTGGCTTTGTGTCTGGTAGGGGGAGACAGAGGCATCTCTAAAGCATCAAAGCCCGGATTTCTGCATAATTCCCCAGTAGCTTAGCTGTGAGGATTCTGTCCTTTCAGTCTGTGCCTTTGGAATCTCTTTGGCATCTCAGCAGGGTCTGGGAGAGCATTTATTTAGAAGTTGAGTCTGTGATTTCTCAAAAACTCATTCCCATAATGCTCATTCTGGCCTGGAATGATTTTTTTAAACTTTTGAAGTATAACAAAAATGCAGAAAATTCACAGATATTAAATATGGTGCTTTAAGGCTTTGCACAAACTGACCATCCAGGTCATCACTCCCTGGAACCCCACCCCACACCCTCTTCCAGTCAAAAAGTCAGTATCTTCTACTGACCACCTGCACTTCTAAAGCCATAGATTCTTAGTGCCTGCCATTTTAACATATAAATAAAGCCATACTCTTTTCTTTTTTGTCTTCTTTGGCTTAACATTCTGTTTGCAACATTGTTGCCTGTAATTTAGGTTCTTTCATTCTCATTGCTGTATAGAGTTTCAATGTTGGAATACACCACAAATGGATGTCTCTCTTCTAATCTTGAAGAACATTTGGGTAATGTCCTATTTTGGGGGTTATTATGCATAATGCATCTTTTGTTAATGAAAGAGCCCATTTCTTTTGATATGTATCAAAGGCTGCAACTGCTGAGCCATAGAATATTTGTGTATTTCACTTTAGCAGATGTCCGAAAAGATCAATTGTTGATGACTTTACAGTTTAGCCATGGGTTTGGGATTTTTGTTTGTTTGTTTCCACTGTGGTCTTTTAATAAATATATGCTGTTGTTTTGGACAGACCATGAGCACAAATGCGGATGATAATGGTTAGAGATGATGGTTGATGCCTAGCTGGCTTTCTCTCCCTCCATTTATTACCCAGAGCACAAAATGGATTTTTTTTTCTTTTCAATCTTTTTTAAAATATAATAGCAAAAAAAGAGGAGAGAAATGGAAACGATTCGTGGCCATAAATTGTACAAATTGTTTTTTGGAAGCCATATAATAATTACAACATCCATCTTAGAAAACTTGGGCAGATGGCAGATTCGCTCTATACTCAATCTCCTATGTGCGAGATGCTTTGCATTGTTACTTTAAACTCAGAAACTAGAGCTGAAGGAGTGCAAGTCTTTTTTTTGAGACGGAGTTTTGCTCTTGTTGCGTAGGCTAGAGTGCAATGGCGCAGTCTTGGCTCACTGCAACCTCCTTTTTCCAGGGTCAAGCGATTCTCCTGCCTCAGTCTCCTGAGTAGCTGTATTTTTGTACAGATGGGGTTTGACCATACTGGCCAGGCACGTCTTAAATTCCTGAGCTTGGGTGATCCACCTGTCTCGGCCTCCCAAAGTGCTGGGATTGCAGGCGTGAGCCACCATGCCTGGCTGCAAGTGTTTTTTAAAGAAATAACTCAATATATCCTTAGGGATGAGAGCATAGCAGTATTCATTCCTGGAGATTTAATTTCATTGGCGTTAATGTTGGGGAAAACTGCATACATGTTTAACAGGCTCCTTAATTATTTAAATAAAATAAATTACTATTTTTTTTTCAGAGAGGGTCTCACTCTGTCACCCAGGTTACAGTACAGCAGTGAAATCATAGCTTACTGCAGCGTCAACTTCCTTGGGCTCAGGTGATCCTCCAGCTTTCTGAGTAGCTGGAACTACAGGCATGTACCACCACACCTGGCTAATTTTTGTGTAGAGATGAGGTTTTGCCGTGTTACGCAGGCTGATCTCAAATTCATAAGGCTCAAGCCATTCTCCTGCCTCAGCCTCTCACTGTGCTGGGATTACAGGAGTGAGTCACTATACCCGGCCTAAATTAAATTTTGAATAGATAAGGTATTTATATACTTCAAAAATAAAAAAGCACATAAAAAGAAAAACAGTGAAAAGTTTTCCCTCCACACTATTCCTCATCTCATACCCCTCCATGGTAACCACATTTACTGTGTATCCTTCCAATATGTTCTTCTGAATCTTTCTATATTAATGCATAAAGAGCCACAAAGTTTTTTTATAGAGTCATAATCTTTCATCATGCAAATGTACCGTATTTTATTTGGTCAGGCCTCTATTGTTGGTCATTTAGGTTGTTTCTAATCTTTTGCTATTGCAAACAAAGCCGCAGTGATCATCTTTGGGTTGCATCACATTCAATGCAGAGTAAATTTCTGTAAAGAGTGGGTCATAGTTGCAATTTTAACAGATATTGCTAAATCTCCCTTGAAAGGGAATTCAGATTTATCCCATCAGAGTATGAGACAGCTTATTTCTCCAAAGTTTTGTCAATATGATGTATAATTAATCTTTCAAAATTTTGCTAATAGGTAAAAAGTATGCTGAGATATAAATTTGTACTTATTTTCAGTAAATTTTGACCATATTTATATACATGATAAAAAGCCATTGGCAATTCCTTTTTTACTTTTATTAATATTTCTACTGGCTTGTTGGTCTTTTTCTTATTAATTTATATATTAGACAGATGAGCCTTTTATTTGTGATGTGATTCCAAATATTTTTCCTATTTCTTTTGTTGCCTTTTGAGCTTGCTGATGTTTTATTGCCATGCAGATTTAATCTTTTTTATAGTCAAATATAGCAACCATTTTCTTATGGCTTTTGAATTTGAGACATAATTCAAAAGTCTTCATCACTCTGTATTACAAGATAATTATCTCGTGTTTTCTTCTATTTTGGTTGCATTTTTTAGTATTTGGAATTTTTCTTGGTGGATGGTATGAGACATGACACCAGCTTCTCAGATGATTATGAAAACCAAAATATGAGAATTAATTACCCCCACAGAACTGCACCAAGATCTGATAAACTTTGTGTTGGTTGTGTTTTCTCAGCATCCCACTACGAGATTGCGGTCTTTCAAGTGTCTACTTCACCACACTAACAGGTCTTTTCCTTCCTTTCCACATCTCTTGTTTCCTTTTTAAATTTTTTATTATGAAATATTTTGCTGTTTAGGGAATAATAGTAATACAATGAAATCTTCATGTACCTACCACCGAGCCTTAAAAAAAAAATAGTCATTCTCGTCCTTCACAACGTCCAGCATCTGTAGAAGCTTCCATCCCTCTGGAAGATTGTGGAAGGTAACCTCATCTGCTCCTGAATTGCTCAGCTTTAGAACATTCCCCAAACACCCTAGAATCTGGCAGGCCTTGACTCAGAGCATCCAGAGCATGCGGCTCAGCTACTGGGTCTCACTGTTCCACCCACACGTCTCAGGAACATCTGCTGCCTAGCAAAGCCACGTGCATGCACACCAGGGTCAGGGAAATTGCGGGTTATAATTTTATGGGAGAGTCTTGAACACCAGACGGGCTTTGGATTACAGCCGAGTGACTGTCCCAGCTGGGTTTGAGTCTGGGCTCAGGAGTTAGCTAGATGTGTCCTGAGGCGAGTCATGTCACCTCTCCAAGTCACTTTCTAGTTTCCTCATCTAAGAAGTGAAATGGTTGAATTCTTTGGTCTCTGAACTAGTTCTGAGATTTTTTTGTCAAACACTTGTGAAAACTCAGATAAATCACATATAAAACGACTGTTAGTTTTGCAGAAAGGATTTAGAATCATGCCCCAAATTGAGTGCCTCCATGCCTGGCCAATGGACCAATTGTATCTGAATCACGTGATTACCTGTTAAAATGCAGATTCTTTGGCCCAGCACAAGGCTTTCCCTCTAGGTATAGAGCCTGTGAAACTTCATCATAATAAACATCACCCCCCAACATGCCACACCACGTGATTTTGAGACACACGAATATTTGAGAACTACTGTTTGAGAAGTCCAACCTACTATTCATTGTGCAACTGAGCCGAGAACTATTTTAAAGGAGTTCGATAAACACATTTTATTGGGATAGGCATATACAAAGCAGACAAACCAAATGCTTGTCTCTGGAATCCATAATTTTTTGAAGAAAGGCATAGGCAGAGAAAAGCTTGAAAGCTTAGTTT